GTGGTTAATTCGACGCCTCTGTAGCTTTGAATAATAATAGTTCTGGTTTTTTCAAGATTAATAACATTCTATTTAATAACATAACATCAATGAATCATAACATCATTCAAATATTTTGCTGCGTGGTGCTGAAGGAAATTCCTTTCAATAAATTAGAAATTTTAATATGGACCATATTATTTATTTTTGAAGTTGAACCCTATTATTGTACTTTTAAACTTCATGACATGATACAATGGTCAAACTTAAACAGAACTACCTTAATTTAATCAATTTGCCGCCTTAATAATGTTGCATGAAAAACGAATTATGGTTCAAACATGATTTGATTTTCCTGAGAATGCTTAGGTTATAAAAAGTGAAGTTCACAAATTTTACAAAGCTAACTTATATTTTAAAATCACAGTTTTGGCTTCTAAAATAGCTTTAATTCCTTATCGATAAAAATGCTGCATACGAATATTATCCTAAATGATATTAAGAAAATTATAAATAATAAAGATAAAGAAAAAAAGAAAAAAGACATTTTTTGTTGATCAACACGGATCAGTGAACGCAAAAATGACAACAGTTTCACAACCTAATGCTGCTGCTGAGACAGGTGACTCATTTTCTAGTTGTTACATTTCTTCCTAAAACCACTAGATGCTATTTCACTTCAAAATAAGTCTGTATCACAAAGTCACACGATTGTACGTTAATTCAAATTTATGATTATTTTAGATTACTATTGTCTATATAAAACTGCAACTTAAAACTCAAAATTGTAATACCGATTATAAGTAAACTTATCTTTAGTATATTTATTTCAAATAAATACAACATAAAATAAGATATCAATCATACAACCGAGCAATTAAAAGTTCCATCTTATGAACTCCATCCGTTTCTGCAGGAAATGCTTGAAGTGTCAATAATCCTATAATGACAGTATTCAGAATAATAGATTTGATCTTTAGTGTCTGTAAACATTCTACAGTGCTGTTTGATCAAAATTTCTTGATCCCCTTCTGACAATAATCTGTGAAGAATTGATTAAAATGGTCTTACAACTGAAACTATCTCACCTGATGATATTGTTAATCTAAAATGTATACAATCCCAGAGAGACCGTCCAAAGGATTAATTATGATGGCATTCTTGGGAGTAAACAGACAAATTATAATTCAGCAGATAATCGAAGAATAGTTGTTTCGTATGATGTTTAATATTTAGTACCACAATGCAGAAAGTTCAAACAATGACGTTTCTTATCCATAATGCCATTACATGAGTTTCTCTTGATAATTTTGTAACTTGCTTATAAAATGTTTTATATTTTTGTAGAAATATTTTGGGAAAAAAACATTTACAACAACGAATTTGAGGAAATTTTCGTTTAATTATTTGCATGACTTTTGAAAATAAAAGGTGAATAACCTTTTCATTAGAATTTAATTAATTATTATACATATAGACTAATAAACGCTCTTAATAACTAATAGATTTACTTTTTTTAACATGGGATAAAAACTTAATTGTTTTTTACCATGCCACTCATCTCAATATTTTGCATAAATGAATTTTCAAGAGAAAGAAAAGATAAAAAAGATAAATACTTCTCAGGTCAGAGGTTACCAAACGCGTCCAGTCTGCGGCAGAAGGACAACTCCCTCTATTTACTCAATTATTACCCAAAAATTCTTTATTAATTATAATTACAGTAATTATCTATAAGCAATTAATTATATATAAGTTCAAAATGTGGAGAAAACATGGAAAAAATTACAGAATAATGAAAGAAGGGGGAAGAAGAAAAATAATAATAAAAATAACAAAAAACTGGAGGAAATAAAAGAGAAAAAAATTAATAAAATAGTTTTTTATTCATTTTTCCCTTTTTTCGGAGGGTTTTTTTTCTTCAATTTTTTGTTATTTTTATTGCTTTTTTTCCTTCCCCCCCCCCTTTTTTTTTTCGTTGCTCTGTAATTTTTTCCATGTTTTCTCTACATTTTGAACTTATGAGTTCTATTTACTTGCAGCTTATGCACAGTAAATAAAACTTATTGTTCTTCTTAATTTCCTTTTTGGATTTATTTATTATGGTATATATATATATATATATATATTATATATAAGTTTAAAATGAAGAATAAAACAAAGAAAAATTATAGACATATGAAAAAAAAGGGGGGGAAATAATAAGTAAANATATATATATATATATATATATATATATATATATATATATATTTTCTAAATGTTATTCCTTTTCAATGTTAAAATTTGGCTCAACCGTCTAGTTAATAAATAAGAAGGGAAATCAATAAGTTTCTATAATTAGATCCTACGTCCGTACAATTTTCAACATCATTTATATAATGCACAATTAATAATTTTTCTTATTTCTTCGGTAATGACTAATGGAATAAAATTTATGTGTGGCTACAAAGTGATTGCAACTTACAGAGCTTGAGAAATCAGATTTGCTTCAATATTTGATTAATTCCTTTTTCGCAACATTAAACGCAAAAATACAAATTATTTTAAAAATATTGATTGATTAAAACAAACTATTTTTTTTTTAAAAATTTGCTTTCCATTTTGAAATTTAATAATTTGTAAATTAGTATATGTGTGCTTCTATAAAAGCTCATCTGAACGGCCAAAATGAGATGCATCTTTGGGAATACACAGTGTTGATAAAAAAAATAGTGTTTATCTGGTTACTGACAGGTTTTTAACTTTCTCAGGTTTTAACATACTTTTAACAGGTATTATAACTTATCCATACACAGCACAAGTATCATCAGCAGCTTTTGAAGTTTCTTTTTCTAATATCAAAAAGATGAAAATGTCGAAAATTAAGATTTTCTCAACTTGCCATTCTATTTTAAACAATCTCATCAAATCGAACAATAAAAGCTTATAATTCATTAAAGCAAAACAATCTATTTCAAATTACCTGAAACATTATGTCGAAACTAAGTAATGACAAGCGTTATGTTAAAATTTTTAAAAAAAGGACGGAAAGCTTTGTATTAAACTTAAAATTAATATTATAAAAGCAAAAAAAAACTGAAAACAGATAATCTTATTTCCTACTGTTGAAACATAATTTTTTTTCAGCCCATGTTTAAGTAATTCCTGTAATGGCTGCACAAGAGAAACTTGGCATTTCAGGTAACATACTTCGAACTATCAACACAACTATGACGTCAAAACGTGACGTATAAAGTCATCCATGCTTGATACATGGAAAATCGTCTGCTCCGATGTGACAAAGCATTTTGTTAGTTAGAAAAAAATAGCGTTTTCCAGGTTAGTGAATGGTTTATAACTTCAGACCTACAGTTTACTCAATCAGAGAATGCTTTCCGAATTCTGTAAAATCAATATTTGCATGCAGTATGGAGAAGTTTCTATCTTAACGACTAGATTTCATCAATTGTTATTCGACTTAGAAGAAAGGTAACTCTAAACCAATATGTTTATTCGTTGATATGAAAATCAATGGCTCTGAAAATGCATTTGCGAAAAATAAACCGTGGTTTGGCTACAGTCTTATAAATTTGCTCTGAAAAATTATTTTAAAGAAAATACTTTAGATTATATTCAATTTTCTCCTTTTAATATAAATTTTTATCTAGCTTTCCCAATCATGGAATGGTTTTTGAATTCTGTTAAATCCATATTTGCATACAATATTTTAGACATTTCAGTTCTGAAGACTCGATTTTTATCATATGTTATTCGACTTTTAAGAAAGTAAACTAAAATCAATATTTTTATTCAATGATATCAAAATCAATGGCTCTGAAAATACACTTACGGAAAAGGTAACAATTTTCTGACTAGACTAATAAATTTGCTTAAAAGCTGTTTTAAATAATTCAAATTTATTTTAAAGAACTTTGGATCAATTCCAGATATCTCTGATCTCTTTAAATAGTTTTTAGAATATTACAGTAAATACTTCTGACTATCAATAATAGCAAAATTTTAGAAACGTCGCAATTCTGAAAAAATCAAAAATAATGCAATGTAATCTTAATCGTATTGAAAATGTGTAATTAGTGTTCCATAAGTAGTTTAAGAATTATAAGTCTCATTATAATATGTTAGCAGTTTTCTAAATTTATTATAAATAATATCATTTACTTAATTCGTTTGCAATATAATACAAAGATATGCAAGGCGACCAGCTGTATTATTCTCTCAAATTATGGTAGAAGCTTAATCTGAGTTTTCAAAGAATATTTCCTCTTTTTATGCAATATCTAAGATTAAAAGAATTTAATGTTTCGTGTTGTAATTCGTAGCAATATGTAATTATTTATTCGAAAAAAAGACATCATTTTTAAAAATTTCTGTTCTGAAAACTGTGATCAAAAACTCAAATTGTATACAAACTGTGAATTGCATTTACAACAATGATATCAAATTCCAAAAATGCCAAAGAAAAATTCGAAATATTTCAAGCCGCGAATTGAATTAGATTAGTTAAGATTTCATTGAAACCGATTGCATTAAAATTAAAATTCCTTCACAATGTTAGTGTAATATCAATCAAAGTAATGAAATCGATATCATGGATTTCGTGCGCTATTAAATTGTAATTAAACCGAGCTGTTTGAGTGAACAAAATTCAATTTTAAAAATCTAAACAAACATCTCTTTGAATAAGTAACAGAGTATTAAAATGGCTGATATAAATCAAACACAGAAATCTATAAATAGAAGCACTGATACAAGAATTTAAGCACCTCCTTCGACCGGAAATAATTGATTTTGTTGCATTGACCGAAACCGGAAAATTAGAAAATCTTCATCACTAAGTAGTTTCTACCTTTAATACCTAAAAGTAGTTCTTCATTCGAAAAATCCTCTCCAAAGTATTGAATAATGTTCCTCCCGACACCCCCTTCCAGGAAGTAGAAGAATCCAGCGCGAGTTCCAAAAGAATGATCAGGGGTTTCAGATCGATCCTCGCCGAAAGCCATGAGGGCGCTAGTGAGGCCTAATCTTGCTGCATCTTCCCTCACAAAGCACCCCGGTTAGGCACAGAGCCAATACTCAAATACTAAGGTTTCCTTAAACTCCAGGATCCCGCTGCTCTCTCATCTATTGCATCTTCGCATCACCTGCTCCTCCGCATCCAGAAGGATTGCGGGAAGAAGAGCATCCTACTTCCCACGCTTCCATCCGGAAGAGGAATTAGGGGAGGTGATTGATTCGGTGGTCGTGATATTCAGAGGTGATCAAATTTAATGTCAATTTGTAGTAAAGACAAGTGTGAAAAACTATAAACTCTCAAACTATAAATAAATTAGTTTATCCAACTCTGCACTCACAATTAACACTTTTTATTTTATTTGTCAACTTGCCAACTTAGGAGTCTGCAAATTTAGTTTGCACCGCAGATCTGTGTTTTTTTTATGAATCGCAAAGCTAATCCATCAGAAAGGCTCGTTAAATGCATGCATTAACAAGTCATTAGCAAATTGGGATTATAGAATTTTTCATTTAAATTGTGAAGATATGAAAATTTCGGACATTTGTCTTTTAATCGTGTAAAAAGGATTGAAGTATTTTAATTGACTGTGCTTGAAGACAATCTCTAACAATGACTGAAGAAGGGACCTCAAAATTTGAGGTTACTCAGGCTAAGACCCCTGATGATTCTACTTTGAGTCCTATGTCTCCAACATCCTATACATTGAGTGACAATGACAGGACTACTGATCGACTTTTACCAGGTAAGAAATCATAAATTTTGTCGAAATTTCCCAATAAATTTTTAATTTAATAAACTATTATTAAGAGATTTTGATAGAATTACCTGATAATAACCTACATTTTTTGTAAAGCTATCTATATATCTTAATAGTATTAAAATTTTATTAATTAATAAATTCTAGTCATTTAAGCACTGAGAAAAAAATCATGGTCTAAGCTACCAGAATAAGGTAAAATTTTGCTCTTGGATCTATGAGAGCACCAAAACGCTCAGTAATTTTACTAAAGCGCTTTGGTAATGATTTTGGTAAAATTAATTATAAAATATGATTTTATAATGTGTTTTGAATTTTTTATTAAATGTGTGGTAATAAGAACAATAATTTCGAAAATTGAAATTTTCGACAAAACCGTTTTCATATGAACGGAAAAAATTATGAAGTGAATGGTTTAAATAACATGCACATTGGTATTTTTGCTTTTTTGAAATAATAATGTTTTTCTTTTAACAGAAATACCATTCTCATACAGTATGGTAATTTTACCAGAATTTGTTTTTTCCGTGCGTTGCATTGTTTTCTTTAACAAAAGCTATTATGCTAAAAAGACTATTATTTTTTATATGTTAATTTTTTAAGCTTACCAATCACAAACTTATTGCACTTAACTCTTGGATAACTTTTGGATTTAAAATGTCATACTTTAAACAGTTTTTAACTCTAGATAAATTGACAAATAAAAATGAGTTTTTAAATATTTGGTGGAAGTTTAACATAAGTGTTATGCATCACTTTTCTCATTGAAAATTTTTATTTAACATACAGCAAGTAAGCAATGTTTAATATTTATGATAATAAAAAGCAAATTCTAATTCGATTAAAATTTCTGTAAAAGATATTGAAAATATACAAGGTAAATGTTGGTTTTTGAAAGACACGTTAAATATTTATTTGATAATATAATACAGTTTTACTTTTTAAGTACGGTAACAATTAATAAAAAACTCTGCATTATTTATTATCTTCTTCTTTCGGCACGACAGCCCTTTGTGGGCCCGAGTCTTCCCAAGAACCTTCCTCCATTCTGCTCAGTTCTTTGCAATTGTTCTCCAGTTATTAATCCTTAGGATTCTGAAATCCTCTTACCCACAGTCAAGTCATCGGAACTTATCTCTAACTCTAGTTCCCATTGGTTTGTAATTGAAGATCTTAAATATTAAGGAGGAAGGGCCCATTCGACAGATGTGACGTGCAAGTTTTAGGCGACTTATTTTGACGTATTTGTTGATATTAGCTTCATTGAATAATTATTTATTTTAGTTGTTAATTTAATCATTCTTATGACTTTCATAAGATTAACCGAATGACATTTTATTTGTAGCAAAAACAAAGTTTAAAAAATTTGTCTTTTTCTTCCGTTTGTAATGTCGAATTTCTAATATTGTTTGTTTTTACATTTTTATTTTTATTTGCTTTTACTGCAAACTGTTATAAAACTTGATCGAATTACATTTTTGTTTCATTATTTTTAGAATATGAATAGCTTCCTTTAATTTAAATGTTATTTAAAAATTTCTGCGAAAAAATTTTGTTTAAAATGAAATTGAAACTTTGGATATAGTTTTGAACAATCCCTAATTTAATTTAGTTCCCAAACTTGTATATAAGTAGAGATTTTACTTGAAAAAATTGAGAACGATCAAAAAATTGAATTATCAAAAATTTTATTTTTATGAATATTTTATTTACTTATGAAATTGAAATCGTTCTGAATTAATTATGATGATTTTTTTTATAAGAAATTCTATTTTTTCCTCTTACCATAAAAATTATTAAAAGAGTTTTTTTAATTACAGTTTCAATTAAAAACATTTTATAGAACACAATCTTGACAAAAGCTTCCATTTTCCAAGTTACTTAGCAGTCAATATTTACCAAATGCTCAAAAATATGCATATAATACTCATAAAACTATCTCATGTTTGAAGTTGAAAATAGCGTTACCTATACATTTTCAATATTTAGAGTAATGAAAAGCAAGAGGTGGTGCCTGCTTTTGAATGTTTAATTTCAATCATTCTGTTACACTCATATTAAAACTCTTATGCAAGTTACTTTAGAATATTGTTTCTTAATTTTTTGTTGTTCTTCAACATTCCCCTTGAGTTATTAAGATTGATTCCGAAAACGCGAAGATTTGATTATTAGATCAAAATTTATTCAGGGTGGTCCGTTTTTTCTTCTTTTTTTTGCGCACTGTACAATATTTCTTAGTGCAATGTGAGCATACGCTACTAGTTACTGATCACTAATTTTGACGTTAAATTTTTTAAATTTTTTTAACGACTTTAACTATTGTGGAATACAAAATTATTCATTGTACAAACAAAATGAACTTTAACTGGATAGAAGTATTTCAATGTTAAATTTTTAAAATGTAGAGTATATTATTGTGTATTATTCAAAAGAAAAATGTTTAAGGAAGAGTTAAAAGATTAAATGTTTGTCTATTGCAAATATTATGAGGTATTATTCAAAGAAGGTATCTTATTGGTAAGAATGTAAAAATAAAAATTTAGCTATAATTATTTTATATCCGTTATATGTCCGTTTTTAATTTTGCGCACTGCACTTTACATGAAACATTGGGACTATGCGGTACAGAGAATGCACTTTGAGACAAAGGAAAAAGAGATAATCAGAAATACATTGACAAAAAAATTTGACATTCTTTACGAACGATTCTTATTTTTTTCCACAGTTTACGTTTTCAAAATTTATTTCTCTTTAACAAACCTTTTAACAACATTTCTATCACCAAAATAGTGTAATTTTATTACACTATTTCCATCCGGAAGACACGTGCCTAATTTATGAACTCATTCAGTCATATTTTCCGTTCTATGTAATGATGGTGCTTGATAGTGTCAGTTAATTAATAATTCAACCTATCAGTCTGGAAAAGATGAAAAAAAACCTCCCCGTCATATCAGAGTGGTTGTCTTGGATACGCGGAAACAAATCTGCAACTCTTAACATGGAAAGTGTGGTCAAGCGGATCTCGTCGACTGGTTGTGCCATTAGTCAATAATTGTAATATCAACTCATTTTGTATTCATATTAAAATTGAGAAGGTTAAAAAAACAAATGTGTTTATTTATAGCTTTTAAAAGATTAAGTTTGGGAATTATGTAGGTTTTTTCGTGATTTATTGAGCAATTTCTAAAATTATCATGGTAATGATTGAGAGAGTAAAGTTTTATTTAAAGAAAATAATACTAGCCTGTCAAAATTTAGCATGTTAAGCAGAAAGACTTGATTACAAATTGAATTAAATATTTTTCTGAAACCAAATGAAAGGTTTTTCAAAACTTTGACATTTTACATTAAGAAAGACACTGCTTCATAATATCGCTGATATGTTATCGCTGATATGACTAGTATCAATATTTATCCAAAAAAAATTCTATTATTCAAAATCTAAAGATTTGTTGCGAAAAGTTTACACAGAGGGAAAAATAAAAATCTGAATAACAATTTTATCATAAAAAATAATTAAATACAAAATTTCTCATACACAAGAAAAAACAACCGAAAAATAAAAAAAAATAATAATAAAATGAAAATAATAATTAAATAAAAATAGTCATTAACTTTTATTTTATTTTAAAATATGCAAACTTTCGTGTTAGTATCAATGAAATAGTAATGAAGTTTTTTAAGAATTTATTATTATTCAATTTTTATCAAATGACAGCTTTGTTTAGAGGTTCAATACTTGAACAGAGACTTTCCCAAATAAAGGAACTAACTAGTCCCAGCAAAAAGGTCAAATAATTTTTAATTATTACAATAATAATTTCAATTTAGTAATAATTCCATTTAATCAAATAACTATATAGTCGTAAATACAATTGTATTCTTAATTTTTCTTGAATAATTTAATAAGATTTCGATTTTGTTATCATATAAGGCAAATCAAACCTTATTGCGCCAACTTGAAAAGATATTCTGTACTCTAGTTAAGCTTATTAAATAATGTAATAAACTATGTCACCCACAAAAAATCAGACGCTGGACTTTATTAAATCAGAAATGAAGAAGACCCAGAAATTTATTAAATCAGAAATGAAGGAAATAAAGGCATACTAATTTCCCATTTATTACCCCTCGAGCATTGACAGTTTTAATTAAGCTTAATTTTCTTAAAACCATTTTTCATCTTTTTCAAAATGCAGTATTAGAGCCGTGGAGTGACTCAGGGGATAGAGAGTTCGTCATTCAATGAGCTGAACCGGGCTCGAAACCCAGCGATGTCTGGTTGATGCGAATTCAGCACCCGGCATACACCGACCACAGTGCTGACGAAAAATATCTTTAGTGGTAGACGGATCATGGCTTAGACTCTCCTTGTCATCTGACTAAGAGAGGTTTCCGTGGTTTTCCTCCCCATGTAACACAAATGCGGGTTAATTCCATCAAAAAAGTCCTCCGCGAAGGCAAATTTTTCCCAATGCTTGATCCAGGAGTTCTCTTGTCTTCTCGATTGGGTTCAAAACTACAAGGATACGGAGTTGAACATTGGTAGTCGTAAACTAAAAATTCGGTCGGCTGTTCATCGATCGTTATANAAACAACTGGAAAATAAAAATAATAATAATAAAATAAAAATAATAAAATAAAAATAGTCATTAACTTTAATTTTATTTTAAAATATGCTAAATTTCGTGTTAGTACCAATGATATAGTAATGAAGTTTTTTAAGAATTTATTATTATTCAATTTTTATCAAATGTCAGCTTTGCTTAAAGGTTCGATACTTGAACAGAGACTTTCGCAAATAAAGGAACTAACTAGTCTAGCAAAAAGATCAAATAATTTTTAATTATTACAATAATAATTTCAATTTAGTTATAATTACATTTATTTAAATAAATATTTAATCGATTAAATACAATTGTATTCTTAATTTTCTTGATTAATTTAATGGGATTTCAATTTTGTTATCGTATAAGGCGAAT